AGCTTTACTGTGTGTGATATTATGGTCAGCAAAAGGATTCTCTGTACCCAACGGTGGTTCTACACTATACATATATTTACATCCAGTTTTGACCGTTCTGATAGCTCTTGCTAGGAAAAAGAAAAATGGGTGCCAGATGTAATTTGGTTAGCAAAATGTGTGGATGTTACTGGATTGTAATGTCACCACAGAATCAAGACAGGAGTCCTGATATTGGAAAACTGTTACAGAACTTGGTTTTTCATTCATATATATGGCACAAGATCACTTCCATTATGAATTCATATGCAAAAATTCAAAATACAGCAAGCACACAAGGAAGAATGCTCAGAGCATGGATTCAAGAATCCATTTCAGCCTCTTTAACAGCAGTGGCCAGAGGCCATTTTGTTTCCTCCCTTGTAATAAAGTTATGAGTTTCTATACTTCAGCTCTGTCCTCATGTTACACCTCTTTGTGTATGTGTGCAGAGGGTAGCAGAAGGCGGGCTGAATATACACTGCACTAAGTCACATGACTAACAGTAGGAGGGAGGTGAGTCTAGACTGGCCCAATCACAGTTTTCCAGTTCATTATCCAGCTGGTTCTCCCGGAAGGATGCATTGGGGCAATTTTTTCAGTTTTTTCTGCAGCCGCTAGTTGGAACCAACCCATTTTTACCTTTATCTTTCTTCTGTGACATTTCTCCTAACGCTAAATTTATTTCCATTTTATTAGGGCTTTGGAAAGATTACCTGGTGAAGGAGAGACAAGGACAATTCTGATTTTTTTACATGCTTTCGTTCCAACAGATCAATGGGTTGGACTTAATGAGAATAGCAAAAATTAATTCTGGATCTAAATTAAATTAAATTCTTAATTAAGCTTAATTCCTTACACATAAATTCCAAAAATGGCCCACATCTACATCTGGATGGGACTGGAGCTGGAGCCGTAGGAATTCCTCCATGAAGAAAGTATATTGTTATTCTGCTTGTCCACAGGTTCCCCCTTGTTTAGCGGTTGTTCTCACTTAGCAACTGTTTTTAGTTGTGACAGTGACTTGTGACCAATCCTCATATTTATGACCTTCACAAATCTACAAAGCAAAGGAATTCTGAAGCACCTTTGTAGTTCCACTTAGTAACTGCTTAGCTTGAAAACCAAGTGGGGTCCTTAAATGAGGACTACCTGCACCGTGTTAAAGCCTAAGGGTAGTGAGTTGCATTATCTGGATCTATTTGTGATTCATGTTTTGTTACTCAAAAAGAAAAAGCTGGACTTAGCATTTAAGTTTGATGTGTATCACACCCCCCCCTCCCTCCCCACCCCTGAATTCTCAACAGGTGAAAAACTAAATCGCCTAAATTCTGTCACTGGGGAATATGCAAAGGCTTGTGTTAAAGTAGCTGAAGAATGTGGCACTGATGTCATTGACCTGTGGACACTTATGCAAAAAGGAAACCAGGTATGATTTCTGAGATGGTCGTTTGCTCGGTGTCTGCAGCAAAGTGAAGCTGACTTCCTTAGTGGGTGCACAGTCTCCCTTAGAAGCTCACCATGTTCTATTTTGCAGACTGGCAGATTAGTTGAACAATGATTCACACCAGTAGTCCTTTGGCTTAACACAGTTCATTTATTGACTGCTCAAAGTTACAAACTGCATTAAAAGAGTGACTTACGAGAGTTTTTCACGCTTACGACTGTTGCGACATTCCCCGTGGTCATGTGATCAAAATTCAAATGCTTGGCAACTGGGTTCATAGTTACGACAGTTGCGGTGTCCTGGGATCGTGGGATCACTTTTTGCAACCTTCGGACAAGCAGTCAGTGGGGAAGACAGATTCACTTAATAACTGTGTTACTAACTTAACTGCAGTGATTTCCTTAAAAACTGTGGCAGGGTTGTAAAAGGAGGCAAAATTCATTTAACAAACGTCTCCCTTAGAAACAGAAATTTTAGGCTCAATTGTGGTCGTACGCTGTATTTTTGGCTTAAGTTTCTTTCTGTTAAATCATCTGAACAATTCACGACATTTTATATTTTGCGAAATCTCTGATTTAGGACTTTGGCTGTTACCTGTCAGATGGACTCCATTTATCAGAAAAAGGAAATACTTTTCTAGCAAACCAACTTTGGACCCTCCTAGAAAAAAAATTGTCAGCCCTTCCTCAATTGCTTCCCTACTGGCGTGATGTAGATCATCTCTATCCTGAAGCTAGTCTCCTGGGCATCCCCACTACTAAGAAGCAATAAAAAGAATAACATCCGTGGGTTTTGTGGATACAAAATAAAATTTCCTTTTTTCCATAATCAGCGATACCAATTCTTAAAAGAGTATACTGATATGAACTTGCATTCTCAATTATTAGGCCTCTCTCGATATTCATGCATAATTGCTGACTTTTCTAATTATGTAACTAGTGACTGCCATAGATAGGACAATTACCTGTTGAAAATTAAAATGCACATGGTACGCGTAAGAAAATTATCAATACGAGCAAGAAACAGACAAACCAAGCCTGATGGATCAGACAATCCCATATTGCTACAAAACTTTAGACTATATTTCAGGCTCAGAACAGGGCTAGGTGTCTAACTTGGGTTATTTGATAGGATCACCAGGTTTTGGATAGCGTTTTGGGGGTTGCACTCCCAAAGACTATTGGCTTAAGAATTAAGACTATTTTAGAAGGGATCCTAAAGGGGGAGTGCTTGCCACACCCTCTGGATTTTCCAAAACGCAAAGGGGGGAAAAAAAGGCTACATTTTATTTCTTCAACCTCAGAATTGATATTCAGGAGTGCCAGTGGGTTCTATGTCCACTCTTGCCCTAAGAAATCTTTCTCCTCTGGCAATAGCAAATTGGTTAAGTAACCCAGGATCATGCATACAGTGAGTGGCCAGATGACTTACTTAGGTTGGTAAATGTTAATGATTTCTGGAGTGGACATTAGCAATCAGGATTTTGTATTGGAGGTACAGAATCATATGACATAGGGATTAAAATATGGAATTAAAAGATTGAGGGACAATAGTTAATGCAAACAATATAGATAGCAATTGTAATCCAAGACGATTACGATAATTGATAATTCTGAATCAAGCTTGACCAAAGCTTGAGAATGTGGATGGTGATGACCCTGACTGAGACAATCAACAGTGTGAATGAAATAATAGCAAAAATTGTCTTTGGGCACTTTGGAGAAAGTAATGTAGAAATCCTGCTAAGCGAAATGTTAGGGAAAACAATCAAATGTTTTAGAGATGCAATGAAGGTTTAATCTGGTTGGTAGGTTACCACTAAGGTGACATTCTGATTTCAGAGGGAAGCAGGGACACAATGGGGAAAAAACTGCTCAGATAATTGTGAGAAGCATACCAAAGCACAATGACTAAAGTGGTAAAAGCAATGTTTTACCACTAAGGTGTTTAAAACTGTGTAAACTATGTGTAATCCAAGCTGATATTGTATAGCATTGGTCTTGGACTGAGTGATAATTTGGTAAACAACCACAATTATAACAGTACAAGCAAAAGGTCTTTTGGCTGTTTAATTTTTGCTGATGTGGGTGCTTAGTCTAAAAAAATAGCTTTGTAGGTTCAGTCAGCAGCTAACATTTGCTGGTTGGAAGGAAGTGAGCAGGCAGCTCTTTGGAAATTCCATCAGAGCTGCCAAAAGAAGGCAGTTTAAATGCAAGGCCCAACCCAGAATGCATCAAAATGTGCTTTCTGTTATTTTCTAATATCAACTTCTGCTTCAGGTGTGACATAGGCCATTTCAAGCTTCCTCCTTAGATATTTCACCGGGCAGTAGTTACATTACCAATGACTTCCATTGTCTGATTTCTGTGGTGTTCACCTTGCTAAATGAATAGAACAAGGATGGGCAACTCTGCCTATCATAATCAACTAACTCAGGCAGCATGCCAACAGATTCCTTTTTATCCAGTGTTAAGCAGTTGACAATACCATACTAAGATGAGCTGAACAGTTTTTAAAGAACAAGGTTCTATGTTTGATTACTGCTATTGCACCTATTATCAGTTACAGCCACGTCCACCCTATACAATTGAAAATACAAGGGCAAAACAAATATTTTAGATCACTCATCAGTCTACAAACATCCTGCATAGCTGTTTCCGGAATACAAGTTGATAGAATAGACAACTGCAGCATTTAATTGCCTTGGTTATTACAACACATGTTGAAGTGCAATGTTTAACAGGTTATTGAAGCTTTTAAATTATCACAGAAAAAGGTGGACTTGCGTATCAATAATCACAACTATTCGATTAATGCCAAGATGCATCTCATGAAAAACATTTCTGAGTTGTCCTTGATACAAGCTTAACTTGTGACCCTATGGACACAATCATGCAAGTAGCTTTGCAACAATATGGGCAGTTGTTTCTTCCTGCTCCTTCTAGAACGTTTTTGGTATGTCTAATCTAGCCTACAGTTTAGGGATTCTTGCTGAATCTGCTACATCCAGGTACTATGAGCCAGGGTGGCGCAGTGCAGTACTGCAGGCTACTGTCAGCTGCCTGTAATTTGGCAGTACAAATCTCACCAGGTTCAAGGGTTAGGGTTAGGGTAAAATGAGGACCCAGATTATTGGAGGCAATATGCTGACTCTGTTTACTGCTTAGAGAGAGGTGTAAAAGCACTGTGAAGTGGTATACAAGTCTAAGTGCTATTACTATTGCTACTAACCGGGCCTTGCTTCGCTTTAGGAGCCCAGCCAGGGTTGACATCTCCAGGGCCTGAAAAACCTGAAGCTTTAATTAACACCAACTAGTTTCATATTTCAATATCTTTTAGAAAATCATTTTATTACATGGCAATGGGAGCTCTTACTCCTCATATAAAGGTTACTTTAACAGCTGGGTATGAAATTAACAGAATATCGGTAAAAATACCTCAGGGACACAAATTCAAGTAGTACCCATGAAAAATGTACAGGTTTGTTAAATGAGATGCTACAAAATACAAATGTTTCATCAGTCATTTTTTTTCCGACACGTGGACCAGCTCCCAAGCTGTTGTGTTTTACATAAAGCATAACTTAGGACATGATTAGATGAGCAATCGGAAATAATGCTATCCTTTTAATCGTGAGCCAACCGTTTCTATATGCACTGCCCCCACTCTTTGAGATCAGATCCCTTCCAAGCAAAAGGAGGGGGCTGTGCTGTTCCTGCTTTTGCTCACTCAGCAAAAGGCCTGGAGAAAGTCACAAAAGGCAGCAATTGGCACTTGAGGGTGATCAGGACTGAGATAGGTCAGGCTAGTGGCAAAGGAGCCCCAACACTAAGATGCTCAAGTCTTTTTCCTCATGGCACCCACAATGGTTGCTTCCCCACAGAAGCAGATCAGCCATAAAAATGCAATGCGAACTACGCCCTAGCTGAAACAACATGCAGATGCCTTGGATACTGTACACTAACATGTTTTGAAATACAGTTTTATGAAGTCTCCTTTCTAGACTTACATTCCTTCCTCACAAAGTGAAAGAAGTGAAATGACAATTGCACATTTAAGCTGCTCGTTTTGCATCAGAGATTAACATCCAGCACGCTATGTGCATACAAATCTGAAAATCAATGAAAAGATTGCTTCTATCTCAATTGGGTTTTGATTATCTTCCTGTTGGGTTCCGATCAGAACAGCATAATTAAATCCACACTGTATTTTATTCTGAAAAAATTCTCGGATTCCAAGATTTGCATTGAAGTAATTAGCTGCTATGATTTAGCTGAAATCTCTGCCTTTCCTAAATATCAATTAATTTTAAAGATTCCGTTCATCTTTCATTTAAAAATAAATACTGTTTAGCAGCATTCCTCAATTCTCTAATACAAGAAGACTTCATTTATTTGGAAGGACTGTATTCTGGAGGGGAATAAGAAATCTGTTTGGGCAGTGCTGTTTAATACCAAGAAGGCACATTATAAAAATACTAAGATTCACTAATCTTGGGTCAGAGGCTTGATATGGCTTGATTCCATCAACTGAAGGGTAGGTTCAATGTGAGAATACAGAAAAAAGTCAAAAAAACCCAATATCTGACCTCACTTTTTATGCTTTTAGGCAGTACTCATTCATACTGCTATCAGGAAGATCATACATATGGCCAGCATCTGCAGTTGGTCACTTCCTTACTTTTTTCTCAGTATACATATATATGTGTATGCATGTACAAATTCATACACACACACACGAACACAGACGCACAGAGAGGCAGAGAATACAATGAAATGGTTTTAGATCAACTAGCTGAAATTGATTTTGCGCAGAAGAATAAGCAGCTGAGAAGGCAGACTAGCACTCAGTTTCTTTGCTGTCTACCCTATGTTGGCGCTGCAGTTTAAAAGAGCTTTTCTCACTCCTGGTGACCGGGTGATCTGTCAGGTCTTCGAATGATTTGGCAGCTGTACTGTTGTTTGGAAAAGGATCCTTCTCAAAGCAATCCTCCTCCATATGGGAGTCTGTGCTTGGATCCTCTTGGATGGTGTCCATTCTTTGGTGATCCAGTTTTGGGGGCCCTGTTGCCACAGACACCGGTACGATGGACTGCAAAGGCTGGTGCCGACTTGCCGGGGGCACAACAGGGAAAGGCTTGATGATTCTGATGGAGGCTGAATCCATGCTGCTCAACATCTCGACATTCTGCAAGAGACAAGTGGGTCGTACATTAATCAGAAGAGGAAGGAGGAGGATGGTAAAAGTCTTAACCACCTGCTTTATTACATCATCCGAGCAAAGTGTTCACAGAATTTATCCTGTACATGTGGTAAGAAGGCAAGTCTTGAGAGCCAGTACAAATAAAGAGATTGAACTCTGAGAGAATTCTGGCCCATACAAACCCTCTGTACTTTTAATGAAAGATGACCGTTTAAAAGCACTGCTACAATGGGCTGTAGGAAAGTTGTATATCAGGGGTGTTAAATCCAAGGCCTACGGGGTGCTTAAATCTGGTCCATGGGGCTGGCCTGGAAATATCAAAGGACTGGCCCGCGGTGCCTCTGCCGGCCAAAACAGGCTGCGGGGGCGGAGGGAAGGGGGCAGCCCGTTTTCAGCCTCCACGGCCTCCTGCAGCACTCTGCTAGCCGAAAGCAGGGCATCTTTCTACAAGGTTACTTTTAAATAGGGAGCTATGGTAAAGTTACAACTACCGTAGGACAAACTGAAACTAACTTAAACTAAAACATAGTTGAATGAAATTAAGAAAGGACGTCTGTAGCCTATGCTCAATGCAGGAAATGCAACGTATGTATAATCTCAAGTAACTCAGAAACTGAACTAGGTAGAGAGAGTTTTGAAGTTGTTCTATATTGAGAATTTGATAGTTTGGCATGAACAAGTTTTTCCTGGAAAGAATGTCTTTCGGAATTGGATTGGGTTCTTGTAACCCAAACTTGTGGCTTTTTAAAAACACAATTCAAAAACATGACATACTTACATGATTTTTTAAAAATCAATGTAGGCTGACTTTTTTGTTCAGCTGAATATACATTTCACAGGTAGTTTTGAATTAGGACAATTGAATCCAGAATTTTGGTTGTAACTTATTGCAGGCAGAGGTTGAATTACCACATAACCGGACTCAATTTTATGATTGTTCTTATGATGGTCATTAAGCAAATCGCCTCACATGGTCATAAATCTGAATCCAGCTTATTTAGTGGGTATTTGGGGATGTAAAGTAGCAAAACAAGTCACAAACCGCTCTCACGTGTGACTGCGGGATGCTGCAGCTGGTGGTAAATGCAAGCCAGTTGCCAAATGACCAAAACGCAATTACAACATGACTGCAGGGCTGGTATGGCAGCTGTAATTCATGGATGGGTCATAAGTAACTTTTTTTGAATCTGTTGAATAGTTATCAAATGACTGGTCATAAGTTGAGGACTACCTGATGAAAATTTTATCCAGCAGAGGTTTGTTGTCAACAAATGCAATACTAAAAGTATTAATTCAAGCAAACTTACACTTGGACCAAACAGAGATTTGGTGTTTTCTTCATATTGCCTATCCAATTTCTTGTCCTGTTAAAAAAGGAGAAAATCACATCTTTTATTTCTATAAACAAATAATTATTTTACAAGTAATCAGAACTCAGGAGTAGTTATGTCAATCACTAAGCAAGTGATTATAACTTTGAAGCAGTTTCAAATTATCTAGTCAATATGCTTCTTCCTCCTGCTTTGAAAATAATAATAATAAAGGTTTTAAATAATTTCTTTAAAAACCTCAAAGTTCTGAAAAAGAAGCAAATTTTGAGGAATCAAAACATTCTCAAATTACTGGAAATGGGGGAGGAAGGAGTGGAATGAATAAACAGGGAATTCTCTTCCTGCGAAAAGGTCTAAGTATCAAATGTGTAAATACTCAGCACTGATTTTTGTAATTATGGACTCAATGTCTTTTACTATAAATTTACTATAAGCTTTGTAGACAATTACATTTTCTTAAATGTCTACTGTTGACTGATCATTCATAAAATAGCACTTGAATTTAAGGCACCTGTTTAAATTAAAACTTACCATACAATGTACTATAATACTGAGAGGAATCCAAAACACCAAGGAGAATACAAGTACAGATCCTACTATGTTGTCTGCTAAAAATTTCCCTGTTTAAAAGAGAAAAGACACCAAATTCTAGCAATATTAGAAACAAAGGATATGGAAAACAGTGCACAAACAAATACAACAGATACATTTTTATATGTCTTTTTCCCAACTGATTAGTGCAGATGCAGCAAAGAATGGAATGGAAAATGGGAAGCTAGACATTTCTCCAGGGTATGCATTTAATACTGTCTTCTTATATGTCAATTTAATAAACTAAGAAGGATCAGCAACTTGGAAATGAAATACAAGCTATCTTTACTTTTGCTGGGTAGATAGTTACACTAATTATAAGCCTCCTTTTATTTTTTGCATAATATTTTAAAAGTTGTACCACTCCCCTTGGAAATACATACAAACCTGTTTGTTCAGTTTGCATAGCCCTGTATAGCAATAGAATTGATACCAATTATGAATCTATTATCATACCCAGAATTTACATGATTAGATTATAAATCCAGAATTATTCAAGATTGGATGGAGGAAAGAAACTATTTTATTAAAACCTTAGGTGCACTAGTTAACATAAATATTTAAATCGGGTGTGTCCAAATCATGGCCCATGGGCCACATGCAGCCCTGGACAGCTAGTAATGCAGCCCCACAAAATTATAAACTTTTAACATTATGTAATGTTTTTTAGTTATTTATATACATTAATTACACATTTTATATGCAGCCCAAGACAATTCCTCTTCACTCAATGTGGCCTAGGCAAGCCAAAAGGTTGGACACCCATGATTTAAATAATTGCAAATATGCAATTTATATCAAAACCTTAGTGATCATTATCAAGTCAATATTAGATATGTTCATGCTACCAAATTTATTGACAAAACTGCTTTTTAACTATCACGTTACAAAAAGCAAACAGAACACGGCATGAAATAGAAGAGATGGGCTGAAAGTAAGATTTCAAGCAGTGGACGATGCGTATCTTACCAAATGTATTGATGCTAAGCTGATCAATGAAAACCCAAAGTCGCTCAATCACATCCTGTACACGCTTGTCACATTTGCCCTGTAAAATACAATGCTGGCTTAGAAAACCCAGTTTCCATCCTAATGACAGAACAATCTATCTGAAGAATAGTGAGAAACAGAAAAGGCAGGCTAAGTGCAATAAAACTTGGTAGTGATTTCCTAGAAAGCCATACCAATTTAAAATAAGAAAACTATGGACTATTGGTGGCTTTGATATTTTATTACAAATAACACCTTACTAATAACACCTCAAAATATGACAGAATAGGCTTCGGAGCTATAGCTACCCCGTAGAGGTAGCTGAAGATAGGGGAGATCCGGCAGGTGTCGGGGGGAATCGCAACTCCCCTCCTCAGCTGGCTTAACTCCCTTTTCCGAAAGTGGTAAGAGCGGCAGTCAGAAATGGCCGCCACAAAGAAGCACTCATCCGGAAAAGAATGTGCAGGAGGAAGCTGAGAAAGTGACAGTTTTGGCTGACCGGGATAACAAGCAACATTCAAGATACCCTGGAATTTTAATTTTATCAAAGATACATCGCTCCCAAAGAAGATCTGGAAGCAGCAAATGAAAGTGAAAAGGGAAAGTTTTTTTTCCCTCACTCTCCTTCTACGGTGACAGCAGATGAATGAGAAATTGGAAAAACCCGCTTTGGCATCAGCAGGTAATTAAACTGGAAAATTAAAGCCAAGGGGACAATAAAGATTTCTGAACACTGAAAAAAAAAATTTTTTTGCTGTAAGTGGGAAGGGAGAGGAAAAGAATTAAGATTAAGATTTTGATGGAGGAGGCTGCTTGGAATTTAAAAGACTAGAGCTAAATTGTAACAAAACTTCTAAAAGATACATTTTAATTGGAACTTTGTAACTGAATTGCAACCCTAGGAAGAGAAAGTGAAAAAAAGAAGTGTTAAATGAAATAGCCTGTGTGTATCTGGACTGTTTGGTGACTTTGGGACTTTTGGAAATTACTATTTGAATGATTAAAAACATTTGGGTTGTTTAAATTTTTTTTCTTACAATGGCATTACTTGTGGAGGAACTGAAAATGGAATTTAAAAAATATAAAGAAGAGGAACAAGAAGGGAAGGGCTCTTTTGGCTCCATTTTTCATTTTTTAGAAATGGCGATTTCTACTTATGAAAAACTACAAGAACAAGAAGATTGGGATGAAGAAGAAGCCATCTTCAATGAACAAGCAACTTTATCTGGGGAAGAAAGGGGAAAGGGGGGAAAGAGAATGGAGAATTTAAGACTTAAAAAAACAACCAAAAAAGGGAAAAATAAGGTGAAAAGTGGATACAATGTCAGAAAGCAACAGAAAAGAGGAATGCAGAAGAGGGTGGAGATCAAGAGACAAGGGGGTAAAAAGGGTAGAATGGAGAAGCAAGGGAGGAAGCAAGGGAAGAGAAGCTACAAAGGTCTGAAATAAGATGTAAAGAAACAGGATTTATTTAGAGATAATGGGTAAAAATATAACTGAAAAAGAGATTCTGCAAAGGTACATAAGACTGTATTGTTGTATTTGTATTTGAAATAATGTTAGAAAATTGTAACAACATATGATTATAAAATGGGATAAAATATTTAATGTAATTTAGTGAATTTTTTTTTTAATGAAATGAAATATGAGAGAATTGAACTAAGAAGGAATGGGAACATTTTAACTACATAATATTTTAAAATATATGTGAAATGAGGGGGAAGTAACTAAACAAAATTTATAAGTGTTCCTATAGAAGCATGATATCTATCTGAAAAGGAATGTGTAAAATGTTTAAGATTTAAATGAATATTAATTTTAATGATAGAATTCAACTGTTATGGATTGTTGTTTTAATTATATTATATATTTATAATTTTTTCTTATTTTAAAATATGGTGTGTAGCCTTAGAATGTACTAAGCAGAATCCAAATGAAAATTATGTATTATTTTAAGTGTTAAATTTAGGGGAAAGATACAAAGGCGTCATACTCCAATCAATGATTACAGGAGAAATTTTGTGTTAATGAGAAAAGATAATAGATAGCTGAAACAGGACAGACAAAAGATGTAAGTATAATGATTTAAATTGAGATGAAACAAATAAAATAGAATTAAGAGAGTGAAAAGAGGGGAGAAGCTATATAGAAAGTGTAGAATGGTAAATAAGATATGGAATGGTATATAAAAGTGAGCATGAACTTGAATTTATGTCTGAACAAAAAGATGTAACCCAGGATCAAGCTGCTTTCCAAAAAGATGTTTTATGTTTTTATGTTTTGTGTTTTGTTTGTATATGTTTGTTTTTTAAAAATTAATAAAATTCTTGGAAAAAAATATATATGACAGAATAGAGAGGATGTGGGGGTGGCTGATACTGGCTTGATCAGTTACTTAGATAACTTTATGCACAGTGGACTATTTAGGAGGGAGACTTCGCTTCCAATGCAAAGAACAGCTTGATATGGACAAATTTAATTATCCTTTACAAATTTAATTATCCTGGCAACACCCTGTACCAAATTTATTCCTTCCTTCTTTTCTTTCCTTCCTTCTTTCCCTCCCTCCCTCTCTTTTATATACACATACACATATTTTCCATGTAACATAGAAAATAATTTCACTATAGATCAAATTAATGTAATGGTTGTTTAGATCCTAACATTCAGCAGGGAGCAGCCCTTACAAAGGATACCTAGGTAGAGGTAGAGAAGAAATTATTTGCTCCTAGGGCTAAATATAGCTAGCGCCAGAAAAATGGGCATTAACAAACAAGTAACACATTAACAAACAAGATAAAAAGTAAATGCAATGGTCAGCAAAAATGTAACAAAAGCTACAGGATATGTGGTCCTAGAACAACAACTAATACAGGTATCCTCAGTTAACAATGGTAATTAGAACCCAGAACCGTATTATTAAGTGAAGCGGTCATAAAGAGCAATGTCACATGACTGCAGTGACCACTGACAAAAGTTGCACTTGTGGTTGTTTGATGAATCCCATGAGGTTTTTAGGTATGATGTCTCATGATTACCATTTACAGTAGGGCTGTCAAACTTGCGGCCCACAGCCTGGATGCATCATGCACTGGCCACGCCCACACTCGGTTTAACAAAGGGGGAAAAAGTCATGATACGTCACGTGATGCCGCCATGATGCCTCAAGTTTGACACCCCTGATTTATAGCCTCCTGCTGGGTTCACCACCGACTTTGCTTGTTGGAAGCTGGCAACGAAGGTTGAAAATGGCGATCACATGGCTGTGGGATTCTGCAATCATCTTAATTGCAAGCCAGTTGCCTGGCACCCTAAAATCACATTCGCATGACACTAGGAATGCTGCAAAGTTAGAGGACCAGTTGTAACTTCCTTTGTTCGATGTCGTTATAACTTCAAGCAATTGCTGAAAAGAATGGTCATTAAACTGACAACTACCTGTGGTGTATTTTAGAACACACCAACAATGATCAAAAAAGAGGAATAAAAGCAATCTCTAGAATGTGGGACCAACATCCAGGGACAGATAAAAAGGGAATATACTCTGATCATGTATGCATACTCACATTCGTGTCACAGAACCCCACAGTGCAGGGTTTTCCCTTCCTCAAATATAAGAAGTTCTGGTTGTCATCACGATAAGGGATGCATTTCCCAGCCTCATCTCGACAACAGATTTTGCAGGAGTCATCTGTTTCTGAAATTAATTTTAAACAAATGGTAAGGAAGGTTATTTTGGCTCTTAATCATCTTATTTCACACAGGAAATCATTTTCCACTGTTAATCATATCCCCCTCTGGTTATAATTATCCAGATGATAAAGATGAAATATATGAGTATCACAACAAATGTTTTCATAAACTTAAAACACCGAGTGCAGCCCATCCAGTTAGCAAGGAAAACTAGGGATTCATTAAATCCTAGAGCAAAACGAAGGACAATTTGACGTCATACAAAAGCTTCCTTTTGTAATTTAACCCCACTAAAACAGTGTTGCATTACATTGGATCTAAAAACTAGGACCCACAGCAAACCAGCTTTGTCACATAAACAACAGGATACATGAAGTAATCAGTAAAGAAATTTTGTAACAGGAAACAGATCATTCTTCGAAAGTTTTCACTAATCTTCAAATCATTCTCACACATTGCTACTTACTGGCCTTTTGTCAATTCTAAACTAATTATCATGCATGGTTAGGGATAGGTTAACTTCTGTTGTATGTCATGATGGTCATAAGTCGAGGCACTTGTACGAATGATCTGATTTTAAATTTTCTCCAATGGTCCTTAAGTGAATGTAGAGGTCGTAAAGTGAACACAGTAGTCATTAAATGAATCATTTATTCACAATGGATGGTTTTCTTAACCCGAAGTATCTGGCAAAAAAAATGTCAATCACAATCAGATGATTGCTGGACACTCAAACGGCCATGAAAGCGGGTGGGTGCTGTAGCTCCAGGAATCCATCTTCAATGTCAAGGCCCTGGTTGAGGAGAAAACCCTGAAAGAACAGCTCTCAATCAGAGACCAAAGGCAGCATTGGTCCAAAGGAAGCAGACAAGAAGGCTGAACTCACCATTGCAAGCACATGAATTGCTGTTGTTCTCCCACTTACAGAATGGGACGCATTCGCCATCTTTGCATTTTCCCAAATCCACGCAGACAGTGTCATCCAAGGCATTCCCAGGGGAAGGACAATCACTACTATTCCCTGTAAGTTGATTTGACAAAATGGCGGCAGACATCAGAATAGGCATATTTGGGGTGAAAATACATCATTTCGGTGATTTTCTAGGGACTGAAAATGGATTGAGTTTCAGGATTATCTCTTCCTGCCATACTAGCAAAAGGAGGAGCTGAGGTAAAGAACTGCCAAATGAAAGTATAATGTAAATGTCGTTATAGGCTGAGCTTTGGGCACTTTTTCATCACTTGTTTAACAGCAGATTAACTTCTCTCTTTTCCACCAAAATAACTGAAAAGTCTAAATAGCCCAACATTTGTTTAGGTCTATTATTGTGAGGGGAAACTTACTTTTGCTTAGGGGAAACTTATGTTATACTTTTATATAAATATAAAAGTTTCTTCATAACACATTACTGCACAATCTTTATGTGTATAGAGCAAACAGACCTCATGATTAGCATTAGCAGACCTCCTTTCTCCCGTACATCTGATTATGGTGAAACTACATATTTTAGTTGAAGAATAAGATGAAGATCTCAGGGATCGAGCATGAAGTGCAGTCTTTGCTCCTAAATCATTTATCAGAACAAAAACTTTATACTAAATCTGCTTTCATTCCAGAGTGTTAATAACTGTTCTCATGAATCTACAAATGGATCAGCTGCAATTATATCCATACCTAAGCAGTCTGCATTGCTCAATATCCTTTTCCAAAAACCCACAACAGAAGGCAACATTCTGATGATAGTGGACACCAAACCAACAGATGACCACAACTAGTGGCTTCATGTAAACATTTAACAAGAGGGACAAAAGTTCTGAAGTATCCTACATAGGAGGCATCTCTGGCTCAATTTCACCCTCCTCTGTCGTCATTGACTAGACCCATCCGAAGAAAAAGAACCACTGGAACACTGTATCATTGCGTTGGTTACCTTATGACTACGGCAGTGTACACTACACTTCCCTGAAAGCCACTTGGAAGCTGAAGGTGGTCTGGAATGTAGCAGCCTAGGCAGTGATGGGCATGCCATGGCCTGCCTGCATGACAGTTTTGCTCCATGAGCTTGCAATGCTTGCCAGTAGACTTCCAGATGTAATTCAAGGTTCTGGTAATTACTTATAAAGCTCTTCATGGGATGAAGCCAGATTGTCTGTATCCTAACCCTTATAATTGCTATCCATCCCACTTTGTCTGATAAAGTTGGCATGTTCCCAATCCTATTAATTACACAATGCCACCTGGTAAGAGACAGGAAGTGAAAAAGTTCCATATCAGGGCACCCGCCTCCCTAAAATACCATTTCTCCTGAAATTTGTACAGCCCCCCCACCCTGGCCTTATTTAAACTATCCCTTAAAAACTGGCGCTATCCCCAGGGCTCATTTACAACAAGTGATTTATTATTTATTTATTTATAAAATGTAATGTTCTAGTTTTTCTAAATGGTTGTTGTTTTTCTGGATTTTAGGTGTTCTGTTGTGTGTGTTTTATTGCATTTTTACTGAGTAACCTGTACATTTTAAAAATAAGTAAGAAAATTAGCCTGTAAATATGCTTCATTTTTTTGTGTGTATCTCATGTTTTTTTGAGAGTTAGAATTATGAGGGTTAAGATATAGATTATCAGGCTTCGTACTATGAAGGGCTTTATAGGTAATCTTGAATTACAGTTCAAGAATCTTGAATTACAGTTTATCTCAGGGTGCTTTTTTTTGAGGAGTTAAAAGATTGTAAGCTTAAATTTAGAGTTGAGTAGAATGCTCAGTTCATAACCATGGCAAGGAGAAAGAAGTAGCACATAAACATGTTTATTATTTATTTATTTATAAAATGTATTGTCTGCCCATCTTACCATCAAGATATCTTTTCCAAGCAATTTCTGTTTTGGAAGCACATTTGTCTTGGAATGCAACATTCATAATTTATGAATAAAACTATTAATTATCTTAAACAGTATAACTGTCTTTCCAAACCAAAATATGCAGGTTGTACTATTGAAAAATTGAAATTAAAAACAAAAAATAGTTTAGGGCCCAAGTTAGAAAAATAAAGGACTTACCTGTGCAATAGGATTCCCCTTTACAGGTTGCATTGATAGCTTCCTGGCACTTCTTATTTGCACTTTCAAATTGGCATCCTTTACAGCAGGGGCTGTTTCGATCACTAAGCAGATTGGCAGAAATAATAAAATATCTAAATTGATAAACTCCAAAAAATAGGAAAGGAAAAAAAATGCCCTAAAGATGGTATACTTTAAAAAAAAATCCAGTACAGTACTTTTCCCCCCAAGAAACTGCATTAGACAATTTTCATCCTGTCTCCAACCTTTCCCATGGGCTCTTTCAGAGCTCTGTTCATCCCATTCCCATTTACCATTTGTATATGAAGCCAATGGGTACCATTATTCATTGGCATGACATTAAGTGCCCTAAGTACATTGCTGACACTATAGATGTCTATCTTTGGGCCAACAAGCAGTGCTGTTGAGGTGCTTCCTCAGTACCTGGAGGCTATGGGAGTCTGGATGGGGAAGACCATGTTTCAACTCACCCCGCCTTTTAAGCCTCCTCCCATGAAATCCAAATTTTCTCAATGGGGTTCGACTGCCATACAAAGAATTGGTGCACATAATAGGGGAAATAAATTTCTGGAGTTGCAACTCCTGTTTGAAGAACTGGCATTTGTTTAATATAAGAAAACAAAGACTCAAGTGACACCCGCCCTTCCCACCTTCGTTTTTGTTCCTTCTGTAGCCAATTTTTTTATCGGATTTAGTTTGCTACTGCCTCACCTGCATTTTGCATTTGGCTTTAGCTTGCAGTCAGATGTGCAACAAATATCGTTCTGAAGATGCAAGAGACCAGGATCACATTCCTCTTCTTCATCCACTCTGGAATTGCCACATACTTTGTTGGTCCGTTCTTTGAAGCATTCTGGGGCCTTGGACTGTATGGTCTGAAGAATGGATGCTTTACTGCAGTTTGAAAACATCTAAAAACATTACAGAAAAGTAGGGAAAATAACAGCTGTAAAATGTTGTCATTTGCAAATGTGGTCAGTTGCAAACTTTAGTATAGAATTCACCCACTTGAGGCCCCTGTCAGCCCGCCCCACATTACATAATCAATTAAATCCATTAACCCAGGATCTTCTGTCACAATTCAGAACCAGAGTGGGTATTTCTAGCATCCATCTTGATTTCTATTGCTTTATTCCTGATTTTACATTGTTCCCTCTTTCCTTTCTTTTCATACCTTTCCTCAAACCAGTCCATATTTTAACAAATGCAATGAAACACTATAATATTTGCAATGGTAAATTAAACTTAAGTATAAAACTTAAAAGATCTTTCCTCACATAAAGAGACATTATTTATACATGGAACAATATGGAGACTTACCTTGTTGTTTTCATGGTCCCCGCTCACAGCAATAGGGTACATAACGTATTTTCCTCCTTTATCTTCAGTGGGAGCACATTCTGGCATGCTATCAGGATCGTGCTCTGCCCCAAAATTATGTCCCAACTCATGAGTAGTAACTAAGTCAGCTTCCTGTTCAATGAATACAAAATGATGTTATCTGGTTGTGTAATGAAACATCTACAAGCAAAATCAAGCTCAGAGAGCACCAAGAATTCTACCATCTAAACCAGAGGTGGGCAAACTTTTTGGCTCGGGGGCCGCATTGACTTTTAAAATTTGACAGACGGGCCGGGTCAGCACAAGATTTTTTGGGAATCGCCCCCCCCTTCCTCCCCCTCTTCTCCTCCTTCCCCTCCCCTCGGAGGCCCCCTGAGTCAGGAGTTGCTACCGCCGGCGCGGCTCCGCGCGGCTCCAGTCCCGCGTTGCCTCGGGAAGGGAAAGGCAAAAAGGAAGAGCCGCGGCGGTGCTTTGCAACGGGAGCAGCGGCACCGGAGGCTCAGGCTCAGCGGCTCCTGGTTTTGCCTTTTCCTTCCCAAGGCAACGCGGGACTGGAGCCATGCGGAGCTGCACTGGCGGTAGCAACTCCTGACAGCCCCAGCCGGACACCTGAGCGGAGCCCGGGCGAAACTGCCTGTTGCTGCTGCCGGAGCACCGCCGGGTCGCCTCCTCCAAGCAGCCTGCTGGCCCACCGGGCTTCCCCTCTGCCGCGCGGCTCGGGGCCAGGCGCGAGCGGCCGCAAGTTAAAAGGAAGCCGAAAGTTGCTGGGAAGTTGCTCGGGTGCTGGGAGCAGGCTTTTAAAG